CCAGCTTACTTTTTCTAAAACAACTATACAGCTTATGTTTTCAACTATATAAAAAAATTCAGTAGCACTTTGGGGTCATTTTGCTTATTTATTTATTTACAGAGACAGAGTCTCACTATTGTCCTTGGTAGAGTGCTGTGACATCATAGCTCAGAGCAGTCTCAAACTCTTAGGCTTAAGTGATTTCTTGTCTCATCCTCCCTAGTAGATGGACCACCACAATGCCCAGCTACTTTTAGAGGAGGTCTTGCTCTGGTTCAGGCCTTGAACCTGTGAGCTCAGTCAATCTACTCACCTTGGCCTTGCAGAGTGCTAGGATTACAGGCATGAACCACCCCATCTAGGGTCATTTTAGATGATGATTTTAAGAGTTACTATTATCAAAACAAACAACAAACAAAACAGAGTTACTATTACCATGAAATACAAAATAGTTGTAGTGCCATAATAGCCCAGGGACCAGGCCTCCCACCAATCAAATGCCAAGAGTTTAAAGTTGCTCTGAGCTCCACACCCAGAAGGGCAAGTAAGTTTTCTCTGACCTCCTGGTGAGAACCACCTTCTAGTCTCACAGGGAGTTATTACCCCTTTAGTTTAGAGATCCTTCCCCAAGAATTAGACATATAATATGAACATGAGTAGAAATGCTATTTAAAAAACAAGAAATAAACTCTGTTCCTATAAACTATCTCCAAAATGCATGAAGTCAGATTTCTATTAAGGATCACTGGAGGTGGGGTGCTGAAGAAATTTTAGAGGCAGGATCCAATACCAAAATTTGTTCTGGTAAATTTTTCAAGTTTAATTATGTGCCTATCCAGGGCTCACCTTCAGAAATTAAACTGTATGACCAAACTTCTACCCTGGTCTGTTTTTGTTTTTCTTTTCTTTTTGGAGATAGGGTTTCATTTTTTAGCCTGGACATGAGGGCAGTGGCATGATCCTAACTTAGTACAACCTCAAACTCCTGGGCTTAAACAATACTCCTGCCTCAATTTCCTGAGTAGCTAGGATTACAAGTGCTCAGTACCACATCTGGTTTTCTTTTCTTTCTTTTTTTCCTTTTGAGACAGAGTCTCATTTGTTGTCCTGAGTATAGTGCTGTGGCATCATAGCTCACCCTAACCTCAAACTCTTGGGCTCAAGCGATTCTCCTGCTTCAGCCTCCTGAGTAGCTGGGACTATAGGCGCCCAACACAATGCCTGGCTATTTTGAGAAATGGGGTCTTGCTCTTGCTCAGGCTGGTGTTGAACTTGTGAGCTCAAGCAATCCACCTGCCTTGGCCTCCTACAATGCTAGGATTACAGGCTGAGCCACCACACACCTGGTTAGTTTTTCCATTTCTTTTTGTTTTTTTGTAGAGATGGGATCTCACTATGTTGTGCAGGCTGGTCCTGAACTCCTGCCTTAAGCACTCCTACTTTGGCCTCTGAAAATACTAGGATTACAGGTGTGAGCCACTGCACCTGGCCCTGGTCTGCTTTTCAAATCCATATATAATGTAGCCAAAAACTCCATTAACTCCAAGCTACACAAAAGTTTCTGTTTAGGGTGGTGCCTGTGGCTCAAAGAAGTAGGGTGCCAGCCCCATATGCTGGAGGTGGAGGGTTTGAACCCGGCCCCAGCCAAAAACTGCAAAAAAAATAAAGTTTGTTTATTACCCATCACTCCAACAATTAAAAGGGGGAAAAGTAAAACACAGCAACTATTTACATCATGCTTGGGGTTCACCCCAGAATTTTCCATCACACAGCATTATGCCCAGCTGATGCAGTGGCCACTGAAATAGTCCTTTAGGAATACTAAATATTAGCAAAAACTACCTCTACATTTTCTTTAGCTGGAGCTGTTCCTATTGGAACTGTTCCTATTGGTACTGTTCCTATTGGAGCTGTTCCTATTGGTACCAGCTGTGGAATTTCATCTTCAGAGTCGTTTGTCACTTTAAGTTGGGCTTTGACTCTGCCACGTTTGCTGCGTTTTTTCTTCCCATGTCCTGGGCCCTTTTCCTTCTGGGGCCCGGGTTTCTTCACCAGAGCACCACTTTTAGGTGCTGCATTATCTTTTGTTGAGACTGATGAAGCCTGCTGCCTCTTCTTCCACTTTAGTTTTTCAAGACGTCGTCGCGGATTTTTCTTTGTCACCTACCAAAAACCACCAAACATAATTTTAGCAGGAAATACTTCTGTTGATAAAACAAATGGCCCAGATTCAGCATTTAAATTCCTATTATTCATAAGATCCCTGAAAAAGCCCTGACCTGTACCAAGAATAAACTCCCTTATCAGCCCTTGAATCCCAACC